ATGCATTTTCGCCCATTACAATTTATCACGGGTTTTCTATTTCAACGCTCAATTTTCCAGCCTGCTCGATTTTTTTTTATATTCCTCACGTTCAAGATTCTCCGTCGATTTTTTCTTACATTTTTTTTTTTTCCTGCGTTGATATTTTGGCGACTCTCTCTCTCTCTCTTCGCGACATTCTATATTGGCGTCTCTCTCTCTCTCTCTCTCTCTCTCGCTCTTCGCGACATTCTATATTGGCGTCTCTCTCTCTCTCTCTTCGCGACATTCTATATTGGCGTCTCACTCTCTCTCTTCGCGACATTCTATATTGGCGTCTCACTCTCTCTCTTCGCGACATTCTATATTGGCGTCTCACTCTCTCTCTTCACGACATTCTATATTGGCGTCTCACTCTCTCTCTTCACGACATTCTATATTGGCGTCTCTCTCTCTTCACGACATTCTATATTGGCGTCTCTCTCTCTCTCACGACATTCTCTCTCTCTCTCTTCGCGACATTCTATATTGGCGTCTCTCTCTCTCTCTCTCTCTCTCTCTTCGCGACATTCTATATTGGCGTCTCTCTCTCTCTCTCTCTTCGCGACATTCTATATTGGCGTCTCTCTCTCTCTCTCTCTTCGCGACATTCTATATTGGCTCTCTCTCTCTCTCTCTCTTCGCGACACTCTATATTGGCGTCTCTCTCTCTCTCTCTTCGCGACATTCTATATTGGCGTCTCTCTCTCTCTCTTCGCGACATTCTATATTGGCGTCTCTTTCTCTCTCTTCGCGACATTGTATATTGGCGTCTCTCTCTCTCTCTCTCTCTCTTACTCTCTCTTCGTGACATTGTATATTGGCGTCTCTCTCTCTCTTCGTGACATTGTATATTGGCGTCTCTCTCTCTCTTCGTGACATTGTATATTGTATATTCGTCTCTCTCTCTTCGCGACATTGTATTTTGGCGTCTCTCTTCGCGACATTGTATATTGGCGTCTCTCTCTCTCTCTCTCTCTCTCTCTTCGAACCTTTCTATATTGGCGTCTCTCTCTCTCTCTCTCTCTTCGAACCTTTCTATATTGGCGCCTCTCTCTCTCTTCGAACCTTTCTATATTGGCGTCTCTCTCTCTCGAACCTTTCTATATTGGCGTCTCTCTCTCTCTTCGAACCTTTCTATATTGGCGTCTCTCTCTCTCTCTTCGAACCTTTCTATATTGGCGTCTCTCTCTCTCTTCGAACCTTTCTATATTGGCGTCTCTCTCTCTCTCTTCGAACCTTTCTATATTGGCGTCTCTCTCTCTCTCTTCGAACCTTTCTATATTATTGTCTCTCTCTCTCTCTCTTCGAACCTTTCTATATATTGGCTCTCTCTCTCTCTCTCTCTTCGAACCTTTCTATATTGGCGTCTCTCGAACCTTTCTCTCTCTCTCTTCGAACCTTTCTATATTGGCGTCTCTCTCTCTCTCTCTCTTCGAACCTTTCTATATTGGCGTCTCTCTCTCTCTCTCTCTTCGAACCTTTCTATATTGGCGTCTCTCTCTCTCTCTCTCTTCGAACCTTTCTATATTGGCGTCTCTCTCTCTCTCTTCGAACCTTTCTATATTGGCGTCTCTCTCTCTCTCTTCGAACCTTTCTATATTGGCGTCTCTCTCTCTCTTCGAACCTTTCTATATTGGCGTCTCTCTCTCTCTCTTCGAACCTTTCTCTCTCTCTCTCTTCGAACCTTTCTATATTGGCGTCTCTCTCTCTTCGAACCTTTATATATTGGCGTCTCTCTCTCTCTCTCTCTTCGAACCTTTCTATATTGGCGTCTCTCTCTCTCTCTCTTCGAACCTTTCTATATTGGCGTCTCTCTCTCTCTCTCTTCGAACCTTTCTATATTGGCGTCTCTCTCTCTCTCTCTCTTCGAACCTTTCTATATTGGCGTCTCTCTCTCTCTCTCTCTTCGAACCTTTCTATATTGGCGTCTCTCTCTCTCTCTCTTTTGAACCTTTCTATATGAACGTTTCTATCTCTCTCTCTCTCTCTTCGAACCTTTCTATATTGGCGTCTCTCTCTCTCTCTCTTCGAACCTTTCTATATTGGCGTCTCTCTCTCTCTTCGAACCTTTTCTATATTGGCGTCTCTCTCTCTTCGAACCTTTCTATATTGGTGTCTCTCTCTCTCTTCGAACCTTTCTATATTGGCGTCTCTCTCTCTCTCTCTTCGAACCTTTCTATATTGGCGTCTCTCTCTCTCTCTCTCTCTTCGAACCTTTCTATATTGGCGTCTCTCTCTCTCTCTCTCTTTCTCTCTCTCTCTCTCTTCGAACCTTTCTATATTGGCGTCTCTCTCTCTCTTTCTCTCTCTCTCTCGAACCTTTCTATATTGGCGTCTCTCTCTCTCTCTCTCGTCTCTCTCTCTTCGAACCTTTCTATATTGGCGTCTCTCTCTCTCTCTCTCTTCGAACCTTTCTATATTGGCGTCTCTCTCTCTCTTCGAACCTTTCTATATTGGCGTCTCTCTCTCTCTTCGAACCTTTCTATATTGGCGTCTCTCTCTCTCTCTTCGAACCTTTCTATATTGGCGTCTCTCTCTCTCTCTTCGAACCTTTCTAGACCTTTTCTATCTTCGAACCTTTCTATATTGGCGTCTCTCTCTCTCTTCGAACCTTTCTATATTGGCGTCTCTCTCTCTCTCTTCGAACCTTTCTATATTGGCGTCTCTCTCTCTCTCTTCGAACCTTTCTATATTGGCGTCTCTCTCTCTCTCTCTCTTCGAACCTTTCTATATTGGCGTCTCTCTCTCTCTCTCTCTCTTCGAACCTTTCTATATTGGCGTCTCTCTCTCTCTCTCTCTCTTCGAACCTTTCTATATTGGCGTCTCTCTCTCTCTCTCTCTCTTCGAACCTTTCTATATTGGCGTCTCTCTCTCGCTCTTCGAACCTTTCTATATTGACGTCTCTCTCTCTCTCTCTCTTCGAACCTTTCTATATTGGCGTCTGTCTCTCTCTCTCTCTCTTGGCGCCTTTCTATATTGGCGTCTCTCTCTTCCTCTTGCTTTCTTTTTTTTTTTTTTTTTTTGCGCGCGCGTGCCTTTCCATTTGTTTCTCCTCTCTTGTCATTTGCTTTTTTTCTCTCTTTTCTTTTCTCCTCTCTTTTCTTTCTCTCCTTTTCTTTTCTTCTTTTCTTTTCTCCTCTCTTTTCTTTTCTCCTCTCTTTTCTTTTCCTCCTCTTTTCTTTCTTTCTTTTCTCCTCTCTTTTCTTTTTTCTCTTTTCTTTCCTCTCTTTCTTTTTCTTTTCTCCTCTTTTCTTTTTCTTTTTCTCCTCTCTTTCTTTTCTCCTCTCTTTTCTTTCTTTTCTTTTCTCCTCTCTTTTCTTTTCTCTCCTTTTCTCTTTCCTCTTTTTCATACTTATTCCTCTCTTTTTTTGCTTTGCCACACTTACTCTCCTTTTTCCTCTCCCCTAAATATTTTACACAGTCGCACTCATCTTACTATCTTTTTATTTCTTTACCTATTGTTATTTCCATCATGACGTCCATCATCAAAATCAATCCTGAACATTATTCCTATTTATTATTTTCATAGATTTTCTAGGAATTTAATTTTTGTTTTCTTCTACTCCTTATTCCTTTTTCCCAATCTCTGTCTTGTAGAGAATACAAAGTTTTTTTTTTTTTTTTTTTTTTTTTCATTTTCAAATAAAACTCGAATCAGTCGATTGTCCGGTCAATTTTGTAACACCTTCGGGCTATACAAAACTTGTCATTTCCTGTGTTTCGTTCCTTTTCTCGTGTTTGTTAGAAAAAGGATGCAGCCCTATTATTATAAAATAAACATGCTTTTTCTATTGTACGCCCGAGTCTTAACACAGAAGCATTATTGGTAAATCTGGAAGATCGACATGCCGGCCAACGGAATATTTTTTGCTTCGTTTGCCTATTCGTTCTTTAAGATATTTTATTTTTTTTTTATTCATGCCCATTTTTATTGTTAATTTTATGGACATTTTTTTCTGTGTTTCGTTTTCATATTTCTATTTCTCCGTCTCTGTGTGTTATTTTTTTTCTGGGATAATTATGTCCATTGTTTAGTTTTTTATTCTATTTGATGTGCAGAAAATATTTACTGCAAATAATTACATAAATTACATACATGCAAATGTCCGATTATGCGTGTGTTTACCTTAACGGTTGGAGCGCAAATTTGTTATATATTTTATCATTCTCGTCTCTGTCTCTGCATGCATGAACAAGAATTATGCATTTGTATGTCGGTGCGCATGCGCATTCGTGCAATTTTTTTCCTATCTTTTGCGTAAGTTAGCATTGTCGTCTTATTTCTATCAGTCCGTACAAGAAAAGAATGCATAAAAAAAGACTTAAAATGTCCACTTACAGGCTACATCAAAAAGTAAAAAAAATGCAAGCAAAACTAAGCTTATCATTAACATTTCAATATGTTTATATGTAAAAAAAAAAAAAAGAAAAAAAGTTTATGAATACAGCCCGCTTTGCTCGTGAGATTTACAGATGATAGACTGGCTAAATTTGTCATTTACTTCAGAGACGAAAGTAATTGACAGACTGTCGCTCATAAAACGAATTAACTCAATGGGGGAGTTTCAAACAAAAGATTCTCAATTATCTCTGGTTAACGTATCGTTCGCTGATTGTTTCAGTACTTGCAATATATTTGAAGAAATAAAAAAAAAAAATAACAAGAACATAGTGAGAGAACAAAATAGACACGCGGAGAAATGTTTCCGGTTTACTCCTGAATGTTTACTCCTGAATGTTGCTGTCACTGTCAAAGTGTATTTTGGTTAAAGGTTATTTTCGTTGACAATTAAAAACTTCTTAATTTGTTTTATCTATATCAAGTTTATAATTTAGTATTTAATTTCTGAAATGAATAATTGTCAGTATACTTGTATTATTTCGAACTGTTCTCATTTTGATGGATATAGATGTTAATAATGGACAAAATCATTTCGGCTAAGTGCCTTCTGACAATCTTCGGGGAACCATCAGAATAATCAACAGATATCCTATCTCAAGCAATAGGCACCTTTTATATAAGATGTTTTATGGATAACTGATCAGAATGAGAAATCGTAGCAGTCGAATTCGTTACATTTACTTACGCGTAGATATCTTTGGGAAAAGTATAAATCCATCACTTCTCCCCGAGCTATGGGTTAAATAGTACTTGATTTTTATTAAAAAAAAATCATTGTCTCAAATATTGTTAATGCAACATTTTTTCATAATAAAATATTAATACAGTGTAACCCGGATATGAGACCCGGATATAAGAGATTTTCTCTGGTCCCAAATTAGAGCCTGTGTTAATGTATATAAAATAGACCAAACCCGGATATAAGAGTCGTCTTCTCCGGTCCCGACAACTCTCTTATATCCGGGTTACACTGTACAATCCCAAATATGCCTGACCTTTCAAATAATCCATAGAAGTTTGATACGCTAATAGTTTTTAATACGATGTCCCTTCAAAACCTAGTCGGTCATGGCTCTCCACAGACTCCATTTCTCTATTGTCTCCACAGACTCCATTCTCTATTGAATTGCTGTGACTTATCGGGTGGAGAATGATGGAACAGTGTTATATTGCGTTCCCCACGGTTTTGAAATTTTCCCATGATCAACACACACTAATATATATATATATATATATATATAAAGTTTTGGTAAAAATTATATTCGTCAAAAGAACGGACAAATTAAAAGATTGCTCACTACTATCTTTATAGAGCGAAAATGTAGGCCAAAATAATAAGAAACACTCACCTTCTTGCAGCCATGGTTTCTGTCGGAAAAACCGTGGTTACAAGAAGTCCAGGGTTTCTGAGAATATTTTCAAACATTATTAAATTGGTCTTTAAAATACGTTTGAATTAATAATAAAAGTAAAT